CATCAGAAACAAGTAAAAACTATCAAATATGTTTGTTAATTTTATTTTTTATAAAATGTGCTGCTAATTATATTTAATTCAAGAAACTTTTAGACGACTTCCTACAAAATTTGATATTAAAAGATATTTTACAATACATACGAATAACCTTCAGTTGCACAGTTATTTTTGAAAAGAACAAAATACTTAAATATACAATCACTCACAAATTCATTCCCACCAATTAAATATTTCCAACATTCATACTGTGAAAGAGGTATTAACATATACAATTATCCACCCAAAAAGAACATGGAATGTTTATAGATTTATTATTGGTATAAAAAATATTAATACCAGTCCTTTTTTGTATTATTCTCTTTCAAACACATTACACAAAATTATTCCAAAAATCCAAATTATTCTGTTTGGAATTATTATTATTCCAAAATTATTCTTTAGGATTGGGATGCACACCCCCTCTGGATCCACATCTGGATATCCAATAAAAATAATAATATAAAGTTCAAACAATCTCTTTTGCAATGCTCAATAATTTTGCGTTATAAAGGGCTAAATAAATTTCAATTTTTCATTATTATTGAGTTTGAATTAACTATAAGTAAAAGCATAGGAAAGCACAACCACAATCAACTCTGATGCTTTGTGATACAGTGCAAAAGTCTATTTTTGGGAAAAACATGAAAAAAATCATCAATCGGACCACTATTAGTAAAGATTTTTGCCTTATGCATTCATCTACTGCCTTGATAACCTTGTTTTTCATTTGCGATCAATTGTTTACAATGGCTTTTTCAAAGATATTTAAAAACACACAAACATGATGTAAGGTGTAGAACAGACAACAAAGTGAAAGAGAGAAGCCATTTAAACATGGCTTATGTCATGTAGGCATCTATGAACTTCGAGCTGTAGAGGTAATCAGAACCAAATTTTGAAGAAGAGGTTTTTATTTTGAAATATTATGAAATAACTCATAGAAATAACAGTGAGGGCAAACATTAAAAGAGAATGAAGGAGTATACAAAATTGTTAATTACTGATGAATTTGAATTATCAAGAATCAACTGTATAAGAAATATCAAAACTTTAAATAAAAAAAAATTAAATAACAATTTTAAATATTAATAAAAATAAAATAAGAAGATTAAGTTGAGGCGACAATATAGCCATGTCATGTCGCTGGGATTACTAACAAAAGCATTCATAAAAAAATAATATGTGCTGTGCTGACTGGCAAGTGGCAAGGAGTAGACCGAAGCGAAAGAAGATTGCATTAAGGCTGATCTTGCGGGGTTGGGTTTAGACAGTGCCCAATTGATGGAAGAATGTAGAAATCAATTGGTGGTATCTGCATCGAACCTTTGAGTTTGCTAAGCCTTATTATTATTAATAATAATAAAATTTATTATAAAACAAATTCGAAAAAAAAGAGTAAAATAAATTATATCTGAAATAAACAAACTGTTAGAGAAGCATATATGTATCAAAGCCAAACAATTTTAGTAGGTAGACCCGAAAATCCCAAAGTAAAGCCTTTATTCAACAGGCCAGGAATCACCTTCAATTAAAACAAGTTATAACTATTACATCCTATTGAAAATTTTGTAGCCTACATACAATCCTTAAAAAGATTAAAAGAAATACAAACCCTGTAAAAATAAGGTTACAGAAATTTTTACAGACAGTTAGAAAAAAAAATTCATCAATCGCAGATTGATATAAAAATTTATACTAAAAACCATTGCAATATCACACCACAAATAATAGTCTTTCCAAGGAAAAGTAAAATTAATTTCCTCCAAATATTAATTATTTGTGGATTTTAGCACACTGAATCAGTAACAAACTTAAAATTCTGCGTCTATAGAAAAGAATCAAATGAAGAGTTTCAATAAATGGGAAAATGTTTATAAGAACAATTTTAACCGTTCATCACTCAATTTCATAACCCAAAGATAAAAAATAGAATTTCTTAACAATTTGCTAATTAAAAAAATACTTATTTACATAACAAGCTGATTATTTCTTCATGTAAACTATAGACCATACCCAATTAAAAAAATATAATTTTTTTAAATTTATCATTTATAACAAGTTTTAATTTATCACCTTCAGTTCCCCTCCCCCCTTAATTATCAATTTACAAATACGAATGCTAAGAGAAGCCATGAACATTCAATAAGTCATCACTTATTACCATTGCCAGTGATGGCCACAAATCAAACAATAACTAATGTAGAAAGCAACAGACCCCATTGTCAATTGATTAATTGTGAAAATTCTTATTATGTATATATTATTACTTAATTAAGTAATTCGACGAATATTACTCTCAAGTGTATACTGAAGGCTTTATCGTTATACTAAGAACATTGTTGTCCATGCAATACGAAAAGATGAGTGGGATACCACAAGGGTGTGTCCTAAGTACAACTCTATTCGCCTTGGCCATCAGAGACCTTGGATTAAATCTACCACGTGGAATTAAAGTAATGCTGTTTGTCAACAATTTTGCAATACTATGCAGAGGAGAAGATATCCCATATATTAAAAAGAAACTCCAAGATGCACTATGTCGAATTGAAAGTTGATCTAAACCACCAAGATTGCAATTTTCCACCATCAAAACAAAATGTGTACACTTCAGCAGAAAACGAAAAACATTACAATCACCAGACATTTACCATTTAAATCTAGGAGATGTTAAATTACCATACACTGATAACTGTAGATTCTTGGGATTTTCGTTAGATAGACGTCTGTCTTGGAAACATTGACCATTTAAATCTTTACCCGTAATTAAACAATTTACCCGTTACCATGGGTGATAAATATTCAGGACACAGTCTTTTTTAAATTTTTTTTTATTTTTGCCAACGTTTCAACCCAAACATGTGGGTCATCTTCAGGGCGTGGTTTGAGCACTGAGGTTGTTCATGTACTCAATCTCAGTGCTCAAACCACGCCCTGAAGATGACCCACATGCTTGGGTTGAAACGTTGGCAAAAATAAAATGTTTAAAAAAAAAAACTGCGTCCTGAATATTTATCACCTATGATATGTAGAACAGTCGACTAACTTCCTTCAAGGATTACCCGTTATCATTACCATTTACCATTTAAATCTAGGAGATGTTAAATTAACTATACGCTGATAACTATAGATTCTTGGGATTGTTGTTAGATAGACGTCTGTCTTGGAACATAAAGTCATTGAAAGAAAATTATTCAAGAAAGCTTAAGATATTAACTGTACTAAGTGGGGAGCAGACAGGAATACAATGCTACAAGTGTATCAAGTATTAATAGGTTCTAAGGTAGATTATGGCAGTTTTGTTTATGGCACCGCTCGTAAAAGTAGTCTTGCCAAGCTTGACTCAGTGCATCACACTGGAATACGCCTCGCTACTAGAGCTATCAGGACTAGTCCAACCATTAGTCTCTGCGCCGATTCAGGCCTACTACCTTTCCTTTTCAGAAGACAAAAACTAGCAACAAATTACATAACAAAGTTGTACCCACAAACCACATACCCTACCTAAAAATACATTTTTGAATCTTAATTCTCTACAAAATTCCAACAAAAGAATAATGCAACACTGCCACTAGCAGAAAGGATGATGTTTGCAATATGTAAGTTGAAACAGATCAACTGAAATATAATTCAAAATGAAATACCCCCTTGGAATTTTATACAGCCTAAATTAAATCTACTGCTCTCCAAATTTAAAAAAGAAAATAAAGAACCACCAACAAAGAATTATTCCATAAAACAATTAGCTCTCTGCCAGAAAACTTACTAATATTCATCGACGGTTCAGACACATCAACAGCATCCGCCTTCATCACTCCTGATGCTACCTATAAATGTAAACTACATCCACTTTATTCCATATATACTGCTAAGATTAATGCCATTGCGATAGCGCTAAGGTGTGAGATAAATTTAAATGTGGTTGTGGTGTCAGATTCTCTGAGTGCACTTAAAGCCATGAACAACATGTATCCAGACCACTTAGGAATTTATACTATTTTGGGCCTCATAAAACAGCTAAGTAACATTGGAACATTTTTTTAATTTTATCCAATTCTTAATATTCATAACCAAAAGATATAATAATATATAATTTTAATAAACGACATTGATGAAAAACAGGTTTTATGCCTTAACTATGCAACCAACCAACCAACTTAATTAAGTTAACACAAGAAAGTGCAGATATGTATTACAAATTCGATTGTTCACCACATAACATCCTCTGGACCAACATGATCGATGAGTTTGATGAGTAGCCGATGGTTCAACAGTTTGATGAGTAAATTGAAACTAAATTATAACATACATGAACTCAAACTGCCAATCATATTAAGCAAACAAAAATTCCAAATCGATCAGTAGCCACATCAAATATGAGTTATTCAAACCATATTAAACTACTTACCCATATAAATAGTACCATTCTGATCCAATTTATTTGAAAGTTGGGCTGGCTTTCCTTGTTATCTGAACTATGATTTCTAACCAATTAATTTAAATAGATGAACTTATTTATAATTATTTAAAAGTAGTACGAAATAAAAAATATGTAATATAAAGAGTTCTAAATATACTTCTAACAAATAAATAAATCAAATAACAAATTAAATAAAACAAAATGAACATTCAAAATATAATATCCAAACAGTATAGAAAATAAAGCTTTAAATACACGTTCCATAATATTTCATGAAAATTAAATGTAATTTGGACATTTCATTCAAAATTAAAAACAATTGTATATTCTGTTATAGCTGACTAACAATATTAACCATAAATACAAAATAAATTAAGAACAATTTAATTTACATAGAAAGGTTTCTAATAAATCATAACAAACTTCGGTTTATTAGATCGCAAATAGTTTTTGAAAATATGACTTGTACTATTAACCAAAACAGTGGCACCAAATTTCCTATAAATAGCAAATAAAATGTGATATGGAAAATTTTCAACAATACCTTGTAAGCTGTCTAGTAGATAAGTAATCAGCTTGCTGGTCCCATTAGGCTCGTTGTACATCTTGAGACATTCCTTCGAAAGGGGATTTCCGGCCAGCCCAAGAATTTGCAGCTGGAACAGCTTTCCCAACTCATAAGGAAGAGAACGTAACAAATTGTTATTCAATAACAGTTCCCTGAAAAATAAAAGGTTATCAAAGCATTGATTGTAAATAGATGATTAGAAGTATTGGGATTGAACCTTTATGTTCGCTAAGTCTTTTATTATTATTAAACAAACATTTGTTTGAAATATAAACAATCCAATAATTTAAATAATAACACATATAACAGAAATAAATGTAAGCTGCTAATTTTCAAAGTGTCTTATATAATCACTTCATAAACATTAATTTATATTTATAATAGATTTGTATTAATTCATTCATAAATTAATACAAATAATACCATCTAATTTAAAGCATTACTCTTAGATTTGTATATTATACTTTGAAAATTAAAAGTAAATGGATTTTAAAGGTCTAATTAATCATGTTTCATTCATTCCCAGGACCATATCACAGTGTATGACCATAATCCGTTTATTGCAAAACGTTATTAAGTACATTTTTAATGGAGCTATACATTGAAGTAAGTATTTGTATATTATGACCTTATTAATGCAGAAGCACATAAATTTTATCAAAATTGCACAAAATCTTTTAAATATATATTAAAATTAGTTATGGTTTACAATTACTTTGATCACATTTATTCATGGAGTGCCAAATGCACCCGGGTTTATCTGAAAGACTGTTTTCAGCGTTTCATGAACAAGTGTGACTGAAGTGATTGTGAACCACACGTAACTCATGCAGTTTTCATGTAAAAAATTACCACACAAAGTGCTTAATATTCAGCTTTCATGGAAACAAAATTGATTAGAGCGCTTAGAGATTTAATTTTATGGAAAATTACTTCATGCCTTTCTGCAATAAACCGACGGTATGTTTGTTAAACATCTTTTATTCTCTTGCCTATGATTTTTCTGAAGGGAATTCTAAAAACACCAACGCTTTTTACTTCTCCAAGTTAATATTTTTTATTAATTTCCATTAATGTGATTACAAAAGAATATAACAAATATTCTACTGTGTATGATTTTTCAGATGTGATTTATAAGATGAAAAGAAATAAAATTAATCAATGGAATGAATAGAAATACTAAACTAGGGTTCAGGGAAAAAAAAAACTGATCACATGGTTATTACTTAATTACTTACAAAAGCATCTAAAGTTTCTAACTTATATTTTTGAATGTATTAAAACAGAGGACAAGACAACAAAGTTAAATTAGGCAAACCAATTTTAAAACACCCCAATGGAAAATTACGGACACTACTACCAATACAATAAAGTACTACCAACACTATAAAATTTAAAGTGAAGAAGAAACCAGAGAGCAGCACCATCGGTTAGATGAATTGTTAACTATCGAAGTTTGCATATTTTTCTTTCATGTTTTCAATTCTTTTTAAATCGAAACTTCCTTAAAAAACGGGAAATTACAAAAAATAAATACGCTGGAAAATAAAAATTGTAGATTTAACAGTTGGTATGGATGTTGTAGATACATTTCTACATACGATAGAATAGGAGGGAAAAGATGTGAAGATTTATTTGAGCACAACTAAAACAAATAATAAAACTCAAATTTTGACCTCAACAGAGGGGCATAACTGCCGCAGCAGGATTTTCTTAATCCTACTATTTTTGTGGAATACTAATCAAATGGGACTAAAAACGTTTTGGGAGGGAATAAAAACGTTTTGGCTCCTGGGCCTGATTCAACCTAAAGGTCCGATTCACAAAAAGGACCCGAGGTAATAACTATCGAGGAATTTTATTCATTCCGGTATGTTATAAAATATTCACTTTAATCCTAGCCAGTATCCTGAGGAAATTATTGGAGACTACCAATGCGGATTTAGACGGAATCGTTCGACTATTGATCAAATATTTTCTTTACGGCAAATATTAGAAAAATATTGTTCACCAGCTGTATATCGATTTCAAAAAGGCTTACAATTCTATTGACCGCCAGAAACTGTATAATATTCTAATCGAGTAGGGGATTCCAAAAAAGTCAGGACGTGCTTGACGGAAACACTAAATAAAGTTAGCTTCGGTAATAATCTGTTCGAAAAATTTGAGATTCGTTCGGGCTTGAAACAGGGGATTCCCTTTCACCTGTCCTGTTCAACTTGACATTAGAACATGCCATTAGTGGGGTAATGAGTACCGAAAAAGGGTTGGATCTGGGTGAGACAACACCCGTGCTATGCGGATGATCTGGTACTGTTAAGCGAAGACGTGGAAACTATAAAACTAAATACGACAACGTTAATGAAAGCCGGTAAAGAACTAGAGCTCGAAATAAACACGGATATAACAAAATATATGGTTAGCTGCAAAAATGGCGATACTACTGGTGATATCGATATAGATGATAATATGTTTGAACAGGTAGAGAAGTTTATGTATGTAGGGTCTACGATACTACTATACTAGAAAAAACGAAATTGAAGAAGAGATTAAGGTTAGAGTGAATGCTTGTTATTTTTCTGTGACAAAACTACTTAGCTCGCGCCTCTTTTCCCGTAACTCAAAAATTAGAAAAAAAACCACTGTCTTACCTAACAGTTCTTTATGGTTGGGAAACGTGGCCTCTTACATTAAGGAATGAGAAACGTCTTCAGGCTTTTGAAAATAAAGTATTGCGTAGAATATTCGGACTGAAGAAGGATGAATTAACCGGAGAGTTCAGACGGTTACACAACGGCGAATTGCGTGAACTATATCCGGATGATATAATTGAGGTGATTTTATCCCGAAGAATCAAATGGGCCTGTCAAATTTTTGGGCTTAGTAACGAGAGAATTCCTTAAAAGGTTAATATTTGCAATACCGAATGGTAAACGTCGGAGGGATAGACCGAAGCGTAGGTGGGAAGATTGGATTAAAGCTGATCTGAAGGAACTAGGTTTAGGCAAACGGTGGAGGGAGATGTGTAATAAGCGATTGGTGGTGTCGCCATCGAACCTTTGGGTTCGCTGAGCCTTTTATTATTATTATAATATTGTTTAACGAAAATCACATGTTTCCAATTAACTTTACCAATTAAATACCTTAACCAATTAAATTTCTTAACTAAATGTTAAATTTTAAAATTATTTTTAAGTTTGAAAAGAATGTATATAAAATCCACAAAATTAAGGCAATGACATTGTTTAAAAATCTATTTCATAGTACTTGTGTGAAAGAAGTGAAAAATTAAAATATTTCATGGATGTTTATATGTTATGATGTTAATATGTATATAACCTTAAATATATTTATTGTAGTTTAATAATTCAAGATCTCATATTATATTTAAATAATTAGGTACACATCGTTGCCTTATTCCAAAAAAAATTTCCCTTTTTTGAAATCACATTATTCACTTACAATTAGTGTGATGACTTTTGACCTATTGATGTTGTATTTAAAAGCAAGTAACTGTATTTTGGTAAATTTTCCAAGGGTAAAAATTAGGAATTTAAATACATGTAAAAAGTGATAGAGATTTAATAACTATTATTTTTACTATGTAATACGATTATAATTAAATAAATGTTCTTTCAAATCTCTCTTAGTCTACAGAGCTCAGAGTGAAGTTATGTGATTCAAATAGATTGATGCAGTAATGAGGTTTTTATTTTAAGCCTACAATGGATATAATAAAGTGAGTTTATGTTATTTTTATGGCCTTAATGAGTTTTTGTATTGATGAATATGAGCAAAATTCAAAAATGCGCTGTTTAAAGTTTAGTTTCATTAAAAATGCACTTCAAAAACTTCTTTTAATAGCTCAATTTCGTTAGACAAGAATTGCTTTCTAACGATTCATAATATACAAAATACGAGTTATGTTGGATAATTGTGTTTCCAAAACTTTGTGAAATGTCTAAATGCACCTTAAAGAGTTGGCAAAAAGTATTCCTACACTCCATCACTAGAGGATTTAATTTTATTTATTTATTTTTTTTTTTTTTTGTGGGGAGAGGGAGGAAGAGGATGCTTTTTCATTTATTTTTAATGATAGTTACAGGAACAATAACGCTTTTAGGGATAATGTTATTCTTTACATGTGTTTACTTTTGGTAGCTTTATAATTATGCGTTATAATTTAAAAAGAGAATATATTGTGATTGTTTGAATATTTTGCTCAGATCACTCACATTGAAAAAAAAAAATTAATTTTATATAAAAAATGTGTTTGTATATAAAAATAAAACTTCTTAGCTTAGCCATAAGATCAAAAATTACTCTGAAGAAAGTATTTGCACATTAATTTATTTTTTATTTTTGACTTTGTTTGCTATCATCATATACAAATATTTTACATAATTTCCTCACATATTATCTTGAATTATTTCATTAGTATTGTATAGTGTTTGGTAGAGTTTTAACACAAATCAGTCACTGTGTTATTTAACATAAGACAAGGATTTTTAACTATGAAATAACGGATTTTTTTCTTACACAACAAGATATTTAATGAGGCATGAGAATACTGAAACAACTGAAAATAGTTAATGAAAAGAAATAAGTTGAACGACAGAAACAAAAGAAAAATAAATAACGAAGTCAGGAAGAAATGCATACTCTAGTTTTTGAGAGAGAATATTCAAATAAGCCTTCCACCGTTTGTGAAAAGTACTTAAAGAATTTGAAATGCAGAGAACTACATGAACATTTTGAAGGTATGACCAGAATGCCAGTGCTGAAAATATAGGAAGGGAATAAGGGATCAGTATTATTGAACAAAAATCCAAAACACATGGCCATGAAAACCAAGGAATGGTTAATATTGTATTAAGTATTATGATCAACACGTGAAGACTGTTGCATACCTCTGTACTTCCTCAATCAACAGGCAAAAATATTGAAAATTTATGGTATACACCACAATCAAAATATCGATGACATCATCATAAACAACTACTGGTTCAATCAACCTACATTTGAAAATTTCTGTTCACTCAATGTCCCAACCTGTAAATTTATTAAAGTACCAAATAACTAGAGAACCAATGTAAATACTGGAATAAAGGATAAAACTTAGAGGGACAGACTAAGGTGTAGAGGTGTTAAA